TCAGAAAATGCTCCTGAGCCAGCTTCCCACGCAATTGAACAAGGTCCGTATATGGTTGCTTTTCAGTCTAAACATACAGGATTTTGTTTTTGTAATTGTGTAGGTGGAAGTGATGTTACTGATGTAGCAGTCCAGGATGACTATATTAATTTTAAAGTTGAAATATTTGCTGATGGAATCTCAGCTAATCTTTCAGACACAAAGGTAGTACCATCTGTCATCATTAGAGTTCATGCAACACTGGTCTCCCCCTCAAAGACTGGCATAACAAATATTCCATCAATTGGAATGCATAGCTTTGCAGTTGAGCCGAGCTGAGTATTTATTCCTTTTATAGGTACAAGCTGCTAGGCTGTGTATTGAACGCATCAAGTGTCAAGCTAGCATTACCTCAACCAGCTTGCTTGATAGTAGTATTGATATTGGAATAATATCAATTATTGATGGTAGAGATCCATTGGTTAATGATAGGACACTACTGTGTAGTACCAGTGATGGAAATGTCTCAATGGTATCACTGACATTTAAACAAGATCCTCAGCTTCACCAAAGAACTGGTAGGTTATTACACAGTTAGTGATAGAGCGCTTTGTTCTCACATACCATAGATTTAGTGATTTTTATATGGTTGCAAAATACAGTGTAAAAGTTGAATATTAGAAATTATTATTATCCCAATAATAAATAGTTAAAAAGAGTATTATTGAATTTAGCATGCTTCATTGCTATGCAAAATTGCTATCACTCTAAATTTACAGTATACATGTACATATTGCTCTAGTAAGCACAAAGTGTAGGTTTTTCATCAAAATAAAACATTATTTTTTGAATTCATTGAAATGATGATTACTATAAGGGCCTAGTTCAATAAGCATGTTAGAAGTTATTTGTAATTCCTGGTGGCTACATGCATTTGTTTGTTGTACGTCATTACATAACTGTTTATTTATTTTGTTTTGTACACTTTATTTAACAGGTTTGCTAAATGTCTCTAATCCACTGGTGACAATAAGCATTGAGTACCTACTATATTTAATCGGATACTTAAAGACATTGTACGAGCCTTTCCTATCAAGCACTCCCTCCCAGCCCTCTCCTCTTGAACCTCCTAAGTCAGAGGCTGATGGTGCTACTGTGGAACAGTATGAGATGAAGTTGACTGGTTCCATTGTCAATGTACGGCTTGCTGCTTCTGGTGATGAGCCCAACCAGGCACTGATAGCTCAAGTGAGTGTTAATTAGTTTACGAGTGAGTGAATATGTTTGGGTGAATGCCAAAATGTCATGTTAATGAGTGATTGAATCATTTAATGTATGTGACAATTAGTTCCTGAATAGAAAGTATTGTAGTATAGTATAAATGGTCTGGAGATGGGTGTATGGAATACCTGATGGGTTATGCTACTCAAGTCTATGATACATGTAAATGTGTGTGTATGTATTTTGTAAACAAATTGTTGAATAAATTGTTTAATGATGAATGATTGCATCAGCAAATGAATTAGTGAATGGCAGGATTTTTATCTCTTATTGAAGCTGTAATAGCTAAACTTTGTTTTATGTAATCTTTAACATTGAATGAATATAAATGTTTTGTATTGTAGACTGGAGTGTCTCTTGGTATTTCATTGAAGGATGGGTCTATTTCTATTCACTCGTCACTCGATGACTGTACACTATATACTGGTTCACCTACTGCTAAAACTACAGTGAACAAGGTATGTGAATTGTACATATGTATTCTTTATTTTACCTTTCTTTATGTTCTTCATCTTTCTCTCTCTTCCCTCCCTCTCTCTCTCTTCCCCCCCCCTCTCTTTTTTAGGACAATATTATCCTTTCTCCTTGCACCCTGTCCTTTACATTGTCCACTATGTCTGGTCACAATATAGTCCTTCATCTTAAAAGAGTGGAGCTATTCGTTGCTCCTTCAACAGTCCGTCTGGTCCTCAGTATATTGAATAAGATACAGGCTGAGACCAATACAGAGGGAGAGAAAGAGAAGAGGGTCATTACTGCTCCTCCTGACCTGTTACTGAATAAACCAGTGGATGAGTCCAAGTGGTATTTTAAGAGCCAGGAGCACATCATATCAAGAATAGTTCAAGACAGTCACCTTGATGGAAAGAAAGGAGAATTAGTGAGTGAATTTATTAGCATTGAATCATTATTGTAGTAAAAATGCATGGACAATTGGACATAGTACATGTACCTTTGACATGCATATACACGTAAAATTGTGAATTGTACACGTAAGAGCATGGTTTAAATTCACAGTGTTCACACTTGTGTGTAGATGTGTAATGTACACATACATGTACATGTACTATAGCATTATAGACTAAATGTCAATAGTTTCATTCATTCATTTCACGGAGTCAGCATTGTTCACACTTCACACATAGTTTTGCAAACAGTCATAACACGGTTCAGTAGGTATAGTACAAACAGATGTTAAATAAAATTTTTTTTTCTTCTCATCACCAAGCATCATCATGTGTGCATATAAGTTTAAACCGAATACAAGGAATGTTTCATTCATTCTGCTGAGTGTAGTCTGTGTAACAAGTTAAAGCACACAAAAATTAAGTTTGTACATTGTATACATGTATACATGTACATGTACATGTAGATATTACATGTATGTGGAACAATGGGAAAGTTTCCCTACATACATGTACACTTAAAACTTTATGCTGTATACGTGTATGTTCATCTATTGCTCTTACACTTAAATCTTTTCCCTCTCTTTCTCTCTTTCAGTTAATGCTTGATATAGATCAAGTCTCCATCACTTTATTGCAAGAGCATCCAAGAACTGGTGAAGTATCATCAGCTTTCAGTATACTACTAGGGAGCTATGGGAATAAAGGACTCCACCTTCAGGCCCAAGAGTGGTCTGGAGAGGTTAGTAATCACATACCCTGTACATATAATAATATGTATTGTGCTTTACTGTATAACTACATGTATTAATACATGTACATGTACATGTACATGTAAGTACTATGCAACCAGAAATTATTGAGGGTCTTAACTTTTTCTGATTTTTCAGTTTTAATTGTTGAGATTCCCAAAATTAGAATACAGTACAAGATGTTGGAATGCTTTGATTCACAAAAAATAAATCCATGAAAATGATTTTGAGCATATCTGTGAATGTTTGATCCTTTAACAGTTGTTTTAAAGTTGATACACATGAGAATTGAGAGTTCTCTTCTAGCTATTTTTGACAAAATACCATGGATCAGGGTTTTCTAAGCAAGCTAAATAGCACACTTCATAAGCTGGCAAGAAGCTAAGCATTGTACTGAAATCCTGTAGGTAACCCTGTTCCAGGTGTCCATGAACATAACTATGATTAGTTATCAGCGTACATGTACGTGTACATGTACATGTGCATGTACATGTGCATGTACAGTACATGTACATGTACATGCGCATGTACAGTACATGTATGTGTACATGTACATGTTTGACTATTGGATAGCTTTACCAAGAATGATTTGTTCGCTTTATTTGTATTCTATTGTTTTGGCTGTTTTGCCGTATCAAGTTTTATCCGCCTCCTACACTAATTGTACATGTAATCCCATTTATGTGCGCACAATGGTATGAGAGATATGTGTTTATATATTTTAGTCGTAGTCCTGGTTTGTTTTGTTAATGGAATTTTAGATTATTTTTTGCTCATCAATATTGCTATTTGCCATAATATGGTTCACGTCGATAATGTGTAATTCAATTTTAGTGGAAATGAATAATACTTTTAATATAGCTTATTATAAAGTACTTAGTTTTACATAAAATTTGTAGTCTTCCTAGAAATGCCCTATTTTCATTATATTGCAGCTAACTGTACATGTATAGAGTAGCGTACAATATACATGTACATGTACATGTATATTTTTATTGTACACTACTCTACACACATGTACAAGTGGAACATGTACATATACATGTGTGTTTATTCTAGCTGGTAAGGTATTGCTTTGTCTTTGTGTGTTTAAGATGCGTGTAATTTCATCACTTGTAGTTATGGGCAGAGGCTAATCTTTCACTGATTGTATCATATTTCAACACTTCGTGTGATGTATGGGAGCCAATGTTGGAGCCAGTGGTTGATCTTAAAGATGATAATAGATATTCTTCATGGCAAGTTACAGCAACTGTAAGTGAAGCATACATGGTATATGTAGCATATACATGTACATGTACATGTACATGTGCAATACTCTGCTACGTGTAGATCATGTATGTTTTGTGTTTAGTGTTCTTGTTTAATCTACATGTATTTTTAAATATAAATATTTAATTATTTATGTGTCTCTTTTGATGTTTGTCTTTGTCTGTCTATGTCTCTTTCTTCATTTCTGTTACTGGTCTGTCATTGTCTCTTCTCTTTCTCCCTCTCCCTCTATCTCTCATTAGGTTGAAAAGGATATTAATTCCACTGGTAATCCTGAGTTGAGTGCATGCATCAAGTCTGCCTCTGCTTTACAGATCACCCTTTCATCCACTGGTATTAACATGCTATCTGGACTAGCAAATGTAAGAAAAATCTTACATGTTTGTGTATTATACATGTACATGTACATGTACATGTATATGTATGTACATGTATATGTACATGTACATGTACATGCATGTACATATAGCACACACTCATTACTATTTGGTTAAATTAGTTAAAACCATTTTTATTTATGACTTTTTTGACAGTGAATAATTTCATTTGATTAAAATTTTCTGATCATAGTAAATTTTTTAGGATAACTTACATGTAATGCTACCATACAATTTTTGTTGTGACTAGAATTGTGATTCATTTTAATTTTATGTGATAGGATTACATGAAATCGGCCCAGCAGGCACTAGCTATTGAGTCAGCTGATTCTTCCAGTGATGAAGCCAGCAGTAAAGATCAAAGAAAGAGCTTTATTATCATTAAAAATCATGTAATGACTCAGCCACAGTTATCATCATCCCTTCCCAACACATGCATCTCATCTTTCATTAGGTAGGAAAGGAATTTCCTGTACAGCTGTCACCAGTTCAAAATATAGAGAGAGAGAGTGGGCAAAGCGAGACTGGGTCTAGCCTACGCATAGAGTATATGAGCTTTGTGAGGTTAATAAGACACACTAGCAGTAATTATCAGCTAAGAGGAGAGATACTCCCTCCGGATGTTATTAAAAAAGAGCAGGCCATACTCTCTGTCCAGGTAATCCTATACTACCTTCCTAGACTTGTAATTTCATTATGTGTTCCTGTGTGAAGTGTATTGTTTTTGATGTCCTCTAATGCTGTCTGTTGCTATATATTGGTTAATGCATTATTTCTCATTGATATCATTTTATAATTGTAAATTATTATAAGTCCCTTCTGAGATCATGTTTACAAATTAGATACCGCTCTATTTGTATTTTATAGCTATTAAACCAATTCATGCACAATTGTACATGTACGCTGTTCTTGGTTTAAACAATGGCATTAATTCATGTACATGTACTACATACAACTTTTATTGCTTGTGCAAACTATACTACTACAGGACAGCATTTTGTTAATTTTTTTAATTTATGGCCTTGTGTAAATTGTAATTGGGAGTGAAACAAATATGGCAGAGTTTATATTGCCAGTTTTACAGAACACCAGTATTTTAGCTGTATGAATGATGATTTTATGTGTCTATTTGTATATAGATTAAAGGATATAAGTCATTTGATGTCACTGTCAGTTCTAGTGGACTTACCTACCACCTACTCAAACCCATTGAGAAGGTAACCCCATCACTTCATTGGTTGTTAGCATACTGTGTGTGTATAGGGTGATAGGTTACCTGTTGTGGTTGAAGTTAATAAAGTATATGCAACAGACCCAACTGAAGTTATCATTAGATCATCATTACAAGTAAGTAGCAGACACTATTAAGTTACATGTGTTGGTGATTTGGTATTCATATAATACACTCATATACTGTTGTTAACTTAGCACAGTTACATGAGGGTATCACATAGGATTTTTGTGTTCAGCATTTTGTAAATGGATTTTTATGACTCTTTAAAATGTCCCCAAAATTTCACAAACACCCTTCAAGAATAGCTAGGAGAGAATTCTTATTACATTTTCTGATACATGATGTCCTTATGCTAAAGTTTAAGCTATTTGAGTTATGGCCATTTTTAAAATTAGCAAAAAAATGGCTCCGGAATTGCCCCCAATTTTTAATGTTTTTTTCTGATAAATATTGATGTCCTTATGCTATGTAGAAATTTTGAGCTGATTCTGACTAGGGACACGCACATTATTCGGGAATTTCTTTTGGAATAATGGGTGTGAAATTTAGAGAAAGAATAATGGGTTAAAATTTGCCTGCCTGGATCATGTAATCAATATTTAACCCTTTCAATACTGCATGAGCATGTGTCAGACTGTCAGCAAACAGTACAATACAATTTAACAGCACTTTACAGTAGCAGCAATGAGAAACTCCACTGGAAATAATACTGAACAGATTTCAGGACACTCAAAGTAATTCACTTGAGGATTACATTGAGTCATCAGTAGTGTTACAATATAACCATGAATGATGATATTAATAATCAAAACTATGAATTTTTGGTATTATCAGAGCATAATAATGGGAATAATGGGCCAAAAAGGAGAGAATAATGGGATTGAGGAAGAGAATTGAAGAATAGAATTATAGGGTTGAAAAAAAGAATAATGTGCATGTCCCTAATTCTGACTTAATTTTTTAAAATTACAGCCATTTTTAAAAATTAGCAAATTTCAAGAAATAGGCAAAGGATGTATACAATAGCCCATGGTTTTTTCCAAAAAATGACACCAAAATTACTCACAATTTTTACTATGTTTTCTGATACATACTGTTGTCCTTATACTATGTAGAAAGTTTGAGCTGTTTCCAACTAATATTATTTCAGTAACAAGCATTTAAAAAACAAGACACTTCACTTCTTTTGTCATATAATTTCTCAAATGCACATGTGCATGTACATGTACATGTCTATATGCATAGCTAGTAACATTTAATTGAAATTTTGATCATGCTCTGAGGATCTTGTTACAAGTGTTTTTGATTGAACACATTCTTTTTTAATGATGCGGTCATTTTGTTATTGAAATAATTACAAGATTTGATGATGACATAATATGAGCTAAGAATGGCTGAGTCTTGTACACAAGGCACTGGTCACCTTTATAGTGAGGACACATTCACTAATCCACCTCTAAAAGAGAAAATGAGGACACTTTTGTGTTGATGATAATTACACATGTAGTATGGGCCTAATGGTGGCCAGAATGAACTAGTTGCACTATGCTGGTTTGTAGATTGGCTCTGTTCTTATTAATTGGTTACGTAATGCTTGTTCCTACAGTCAGTGCAGTGTATAGTATACATGTACATGTATGTTGTTACAGTCATAATTACTTACATTTTTAATTGAACTATTTGTGTGATCTGAAGACGATTAGTAGCTGCTTAATACTACATGCATGCATGCAATGTAGATTCATTATTATTACATTGTAAGTATATATACAATGTATATATGGTACTATTATTTATACCTGTTTTTAGTTGAAAAATCATTTGTCTGTTCCTGTATCAGTATATTGGTCTAAAGAGAAGCATGATCCTAATGTGTCAGGATTGCCATGTGTACTGAAGATCAAAGAAGGAGAATCTAGTGCTGTGCCATTATCATGTGTCAATAGCTACCTCTACCTTAAACCAGATACTGGAGGGTAAGTACAAGTAATAATATAATAAATGATAATACATGTATGTATTGTTAGTACATGTACATGCAGGTACTGTATACCGTAGGGCGCCTTTTTTTTGAGGGCTGTAAATTTTGCGGATTTCACGATTTTTAAAAGATTTGCAAAAATTACTTCTGTGAAAATCAAATTAATACGGTACAAGATAGCAGACGGCATAAATTTGTGAAAATTAAATCCGCAAAATAAAAATCTGCAAAATCTATAGCCCTCGAAAAAAGGCGCCCTACAGCATTGGTTATCTTTTTTGCTTTATGGTTATGTCAAGAGAATATGAAATTATGTATGTGCAATTACTTTGAATAAAACTCATGCTCGCATATCACGTGGAAAGTTTTGTTGGACGTGTCACAGTCTAGTATCTTGATGTTGACTTTTGTTATTGTGGGAAAACGTTATGATATGTACATGTACAATGTTTACAAGTCTTTAGAAATTTAATGACAAATCATAGGAAAAAAGTTACAAATAATTATTGTCTCCTTAGACTCACTCGCACACATTAATGTATGTCACTATGTACAGTGTATGTGCATAATTTACATGTAGATTTGAGTTATTAGCTTATAATTAAAGTCGATTTATCATTAAATTTGACATTAGAATTTCTTATGAGCCACAAGTGATCCTGTATTAGTGTATCCACTAAACTCAAAGAATCTTTGGCCCTTAATATTGTCAATAAAAACGTAACCTACTGGAGTGATTCCTTTGGCCAATATCTTTTGTGTCATTTCTGTTATAACCATAAAAGCTAAACCCTTCCGACGATGTTCTTCATCAGTAAATAAGTGGAAGATGATACCTAGTCCTGATGATACATTCCAGGAAACTGGACGAGGAGGTTCTGTTAATGTATCATAAATTGCAGTGTTTGGATAATTAGCAATGAAATGTCTCATCAACTGTTTCATTTTGGGGCTATCTTTAGCTGGTTCCCATTTTGATACAACATACTCAACATCAGACGAGTGAATGCTATCAATTATATATCCTTCAGGAAGAGCTGGTCTATAAAAAATTCAATTTTTACACCATTAATTAAATAAAATACCTATTGATTCTTGTGTTATTCTGTTTGTAAACATATCGAAAACTAGGTGTTGAAAATTTTTGATTCATGCCCAATTTATTTATTTCTTGAAGAACCTCTTCACAACCTGTTAAAAATGGGTAATTTTGGAGGGAGTAAAATGTGGCAAAATTGACAATTTTGATGATCATTTGCCAAATAAAACCAGCCATATGCACCCATGATCAATGCACATGCTAAATGATACATCTAGCTACACACTTGCTAGTCAGCATTTCCCCCTTTAAAATTACTTCAAGTACATCATAGATTACCCATAATCAATGGTTGCTGTGCTTTGTCCAGATGTGAATCAATAACAGACTTCACTATAGCAGCAGCAGTTTTTGAATCATCAGTACCAAATGTATAGATAACTAAAATAACAGAGATAATAGTACCACAATGGACTGACAGCAATCACTAACAAGTAATTTCTCCTTCATTATAAGTATAGATAACAGTATTTACATCAGGCCAGCTGCTATCAGTGAAAACTTTGGCATTGAGCTCCTTTGCTAACTTTAATCTACGTATAATCTAAATTTTACAAAAATTAATGCTATAGATATTCTGTTTGTTACTTCTATTGTGTCTGGCCAGTGTTTGTATAAGAAATCTTTCAATTCTTCTCTCTTACTATCATCAACAACTTCAATTGCAGTCAGTTTCTCCATCTGCAGCCAGCCACACCTCTGAACTTGAAAAAGAATTTTAATATTTCTTTTAGAATACCACATTAGTTCTATTGTATAAATAGAATTGACACAGTGCAGTGACTGCAGTCAGGGCTAGTCAGTGCTGACTGCTGAGTGCTTGTACAGTTGTACTTGCTTTGTTATGGTAACCAACTAAACCAAGAAACAGTGCATTTATCATCAGTCATGAATTCCTGCACTAGGCTAAGAACAATTAAGTGAAAATAAGCTAGACTATAGACTAGTAATTTTTTTGGATTCACAGTGGAATCCCAATCTAGAGTTGCACTAATTATTTCTAGTTGAATGAAAAATGAAAAACAAAACAATTTCAGAAAAAAGAGTTTTTATTAGCATACAGTTAAAAGATTATTAATGTCAGAGTTCGCTTTCTACCACGAGTGATTCTGTTGTAGTGTACATGCGTATAAAGTGCTCAGCCTCCAACATTTTTAGGCTTTTAACATTGTCAGTAATGACCTAAACTCAGAGGAGTGATTCCTTTGGCCAAAATCTTTTCTATCAATTCAACTCCACTATAACTATGGTAGCTAAACCTTTCCTACGATGTTCTTCATCTGTAAATAAGTAAAAGGAGATACCTAGTCCTGATGATAGACTCCAGGAAACTAAACAAGGAGGTTCTGTTGATGTATCATATTTGAATGATTGGCAACAGAATGCATTACTATCTCTTTCATTTAGAATTGGAAATTTAATTACACCAGTCAATTAACAAAATAATTATAAAAAAAGTTGTAAATTATTATTGTCTCTTTAGACTCACCCACAAACATTAATGTTTATACATGTATGTACACTTACTACACTAGATATCTAAATGAATGTATGTGCATAATTTACATGTACATGAGAGTTATTAGCTTATACTTAAAGTAGATTTATCATTAAATTTGACATTAGAATTTATTACGAACCAAAAGTGATCCTGTATTAGTGTATCCACTAAACTCAAAAAATCTTTGGCCCTTTATATTATCAAAATCAACGTAACCTACTGGAGTGATCCCTTTGGCCATTATCTTTTGTGTCATTTCTGTTATAACCATAAAAGCTAAACCCTTCTGACGATGCTCTTCATCAGTAAATAAATGATAAATGATACCTAGTTCTGATAACACACTCCATGAAACTGGATGAGGAGGTTCTGTTGATGTATCATAAATCGCAGCATTGGGATGATAGGAAATGAAATGTCTCATCAACTGTTTCAGTTTGGGACTATCTTTATCCCATTTTGATGTAACATACTCAATATCAGACGAGTGAATGCTATCAATTTTGTATCCTTCAGGAAGAGCTGGTCTATACAAAAAGTCATAATTTTTGCACCATTAAATATGCAATACCTATTGATCTTTGTGTTATCCTGTTTGTAAACAAATCGAAAAAAAGGTGCTATCAATTTTTGATTCATGCCCAATTTATTCATTTCTTGAAAAACCTCTTCACAACCTGTTAAAATGGGTAATTTTGGAGGGAGTAAAATGTGGGAAAATTGACAATTTTGATAATCATTTGCCAAATAAAACCAGCCATATACACCCATGATCAATGCACATGCTCAATGACACATCTAGCTAGTAGCTACACACTTGCCATTCAGAATTTTTCCTCTAAAATTACTTAAAGTACATTATAAATTACCAATAATCAATGGTTGCTGTTCTTTGTCCAGATGTGAATCAATAACAGACTTCACTATGGCAGCAGTTTTTGAATCATCAGTCCCAAATGTATAGATAACTAAAATAACCGAGATAATAGTACCTAATGGACTGAAGCAGAGACAGCAATTACTAACTAGTAATTTCTCCTTCGTTATAAGTATAGATAACAGTATTTACATCAGGCCAGCTGTTATCAGTGAAAACTTTGGCATTGAGCTCCTTTGCTAACTTCAATCCATGTGTAATCTAAATGTTACAGAATTGATGCTATAGATATCCTGTTTATTACCTCTATTGTGTCAGGCCAGTGTTTGTATAAGAAACCTTTCAATTCTTCTCTCTTACTATCATCAACAACTTCAATTGCAGTCAGTTCCTCCATCTGCAGCTATAACCCGTGAATAATAGATAATAGAGTCTGGCTACGTGAGATATACCATAGATATAGAGTACACGTACTCTAGTTTACCATAGATACTATTGGCATGTTGAGTTTATACTACAAATACTTATTGGACTTGCCATGCTTGTTGCCCTTACCCACGCTGTAGTCATATAGGCTGTCATGACACTTAGGCTGTCATATAGGCTGTCATGTACTGTCATGACACTTTTGTCGCATAAAAAGTTGCCCTACTGGTCAAAATTGTGCTGCTACTTTTTGTCCTACTTGATATTATTTTTTCCTACCTTCATAGGATGAAATTAGCTCCTAAAATTTGTCCCTGGATAAAAATTGGGTGCTAAAATTTGCTTACATGTAATTATGAAAACATTTGTATTGAAGGACTGAACATTCTGCTTTTACTGTTTGAATTGAAGAGTTATCACTATTGTAGAGTTTTAGTCACTACATTACACCAATAAACAAAGATTAAGTAATTTTTATACTAATAATGAATGATTATTAATTTTAGCATACTGGATAGTGGCATGCACTTTTCGCAGGAAGTAACATCATTCATTACCCACGGGGAAAAATGAAACTATTACATGTACCTAAAACATTAAGCAAGTACTTTTAGAGCTTTTCTGGAAGTATTTTTAACGTAAGAATTTCAATTTATACTCGAAAGGTAAAGGAAACAAAGCAGACGAAATATAAAGAGAGAAAATATATACAAATGATATTTAAACTTATTAATAAAAAATTACAATATAATGCATTATTATCACTGAGGTATTGTTGATGACTTTGTAGACTTCCTTGATGATATGCCTGCAAACAAGTAGATTCTCATATTAATAATGATTACAGTTTGATGATGGCTCATGCATGCTCTTGGTTATTAATGTTAGAGCTTGCTCTTAACTATGAGTGATTCTGTTTAATATATCAATAAGAAGCTCAGAAATTATTTGGTTATTAATGTTGTCAGTACCATTGTAACCTACTGGAGTGATCCCTTTGGCCAAAGCCTTTTGCATCAATTCTGCTTTAATTATGCAACCATGATACAACATACTCAAGTAGATGTTAGTCTCGCCCTGCCCCTTCGCTACCTGTAGCTGGAGGTGGTGAAAGCTCAGGGCGAGTTCACAAATTGTTTTTTTAGACTCAGTCATACACAATGTTATATACATGCACTAGACATTTAAATAAATAATTTACATGTACATGTACTGGAATTAGAAAATAGAGTTATTAACTTATGTTTAAAGTAAAATTGTCATTAAATTAGAAATCAGAGTTTGCTTTGAACCAAAAGTGATCCAATAAAACTCATGCTCGCGTATCACGTGGAAAGGTGTCACAGTCTGGTATCTTGTTGTTCACTTTTGTTATTATGGGAAAACATTATGATATGCACATGTACAATGTTTACAAGTCTTTAGAAATTTAATGACAAATTATAGAAAAAAAGTTACAAATGATTATTGTCTCCTTAGACTCACTCACACACATTAATGTTTATACATGTATGTACACTATGTATGTGCATAATTTACAAGTACATGAGAATTAATTAGCTTATAATTAAAGTTGATTTATCATTAAATTTGGCATTAGAATTTCTGATGAACCACAAGTGATCCTGTATTAGTGTATCCACTAAACTCAAAGAATTTTTGGCCCTTAATATTGTCAATATAAACATAACATACTGGAGTTATCCCTTTGGCCAATATCTTTTGTGTCATTTCTGTTATAACCATAAAAGCTAAACCCTTCCGACGATGTTCTTCATCAGTAAATAAGTGGAAGTGGATACCTAGTCCTGATGATAGACTCCAGGAAACTGGACGAGGAGGTTCTGTTGATGTATCATAAATCGCAGCATTTGGATGATGGGCAATGAAATGTCTGATTAACTGTTTAAATTTGAGACTATTTTTAGCTAAATTCCATTTTGATACAACATACTCAACATCAGACGAGTGAATGCTATCAATTGTATATCCTTCAGGAAGAGCTGGTCTATACAATATTTATAATTTCAAATTAATTTATACCATTAAAATGAGATACCTATTGATCTTTGTGTTATCCTGTGTGTAAACATATCGAAATGTAGGTACAGTAAATTTTTGATCCATCCCTAATTTCTTCAATTCTTGAAAAACATCTTCACTGCCTGTTAGATACCATACCATAATTACAAGAACATTAAAAATTAAAAAAAAACAAGATGAAGTAGGATTCTAGAGTAAATTCATAAAAAAGTAATGGAAACAAGGACAAGTAGGATCCTGAACGACCAACGAAGATACGAAATGAAAACCCTACTCTTGTGATGCAAATTCTACTCTACATTGTACTTTTATCGTCATTACATGCATGTAAGAGATTACAGATCATCTTGCAATGTAGGGTAGAATTTGTGTCACAAGAGTAGGATTTTCATTTTGTATCTTTATGATCCTACTTAGTAATGCTACCGTGTTACTAATAATAAGTACAGCTTCTTGAGGGAGTAAAATGTGGCAAAATTGGCACTGAATTTTCATAGTCATGCCAAAATAAAACCATACACCATCAATATGCATGCACATGTTCAATGACACATAGTCCTAGCCACAAACTTGCCAATCAGAATTGTTCTCTCTAAAACCAATTTCTAAAGTACATTATAAATTACCAGTAATCATTGGTTGCTGTGCATTTTCCAGAAGTGAATCAATAACAGACTTTAATATAACAGCAGTTTTTGAATTATCAGTACCAAATGGATAGATAACTAAAATAACAGAGATAATAGTACCTAATGGACTGAAGCAGAGACAGCAATTACTAACTAGTAATTTCTCCTTCATTATAAGTATAGATAACAGTTTTTACATCAGGCCAGCTGTCATCAGTGAAAACTTTGGCATTGAGTTCCTTTGCTAACTTTAATCCACGTATAATCTAAATTTTACAAAAATTAATGCTATAGATATTCTGCTTATTACCTCTATTGTGTCAGGCAGGTGTTTGTATAAGAAACCTTTCAATTCTTCTCTCTTACTATCATCAACAACTTCAATTGCAGTCAGTTTCTCCATCTGCAGCTAGCCCAAGAATAATAGATAATAGAGTCTGGCTATGTGAGATATACCATAGAAATTAGAGTACACGTACTCTAGTTTACCATAGATGCTATTGGCATGTTGAGTTTATACTACAAATACTTATTGGGCTTGCCACACTTGTTGCCCTTACCCTGGCTGTAGGCACATAGGCGAGGGGTACTATCATGACACTTTATGTCGCATCAAATGTTGTCCTACTGGTCAAAATTGTGCTGCTACTTTCTGTCCTACTTGACATTATTTTGTCCTACCTTCCTAGGATAAAAATTGGCTACTCAAATTTGTCCCTGGATAAAAAATTGGGTGCTAAAGTTTGCGTACATGTAATTATGAAAACATTTGTAATGTTCTGTCCTTGAAGGACATAACATTCTGCTTTTACTGTTTGAATTGAAGAGTTGTCACTATTTTAGAGTTTTAGTCACTACATTACATCAATAAACAAAGATTAGAGTAACTCGGGGCTATTCCGACCCGTTCCTGCACTATGATCTAATTAAATATTCACGAAGTCATAACTCACTCTTTTTTGCTTTATTTCATTTACTTTATTCATCAATGAGTTCTATTTTGTCTATTCTATTTGTACTTTCTTGAAATCAGCAAAATTCAGCTTCAACTTTGGATGAAAACAGTACTTTCACTGACCTAGTTGTTGGGGCTATTCCGACCCTACCGGGGCTATTCCGATCCTCCGGATACTAACTAGTATACGGGGAAATTATGCAGTGACCGGAGATATACAAGCACTATCACTATGAAAAATTACCATGGCTAGCAAGAGACAGTCTTTTCTGCTTTCCTTTGTCAACAAGCCTTCCAGGAGGACCAGGACTAGCACTTTAAAGGTTGAATAGAGCTTTACAGATAAGATAGGGTGCCTTCTAGGCGTATTTTTATGGCATACTAATCAATTTTTGCCCGTGATTAATTCTACACTAGAGATCATGTTGCATTTTTCAAGAGCTATTGCACATCAAAGTAGTTTTTACTAACTGTTACATACCGGTGGTCAGCGACTCGGTTTCCCACAGGATTTTTATGCAGCTTCTTGTCAGCTGCGTTTGCAAAGTTTCTGTTGATGCTTAGAAATGGTCGGTCTGTAATTGGCGTTACTAGCTGAACTGATTAACCATATAGCATAGATTGTATTACTAAGTAATACAATCTATGCATATAGTAAGATGGCTCTGTAATACACGTATGTAACGCTTATAGAAGGGGCATTACAAGAAGAATGGCTACCCGGATTGTTCTTGTTGTCCTTATTTTCTTGAGCTGCAGAGCTAAAAGTGATTTTATTCTAGTCAGGCGTGGCCTGACCCTTGCGAAAACGGAGGGTCAGGAACCTCGTGTATACCAGACTTGTTTTCAACTACTATGGCTTCGGGTGGAGCTGCAGCTGCTGTAGCAGCCTATGTCATCATAATGAATAATAAATACCCAATCATTTTGTTTGATAACTTGATAAAAACAAAAACAATTATAATTAAAAATAAAGAAGCAATGACGACTTGTAAGACTGTCAGCTGTAGAAGCAACATCACTTCCCAGGCTAGTTCGTTTAGCAGATCTAATTTGGTGTTTTCCACATGGAGAGAATTGAGGCGGAATATATGGCCGAGTTTGAGGAGCTTCCTATAGATGAGACTTCTGATGACATCCTATATAACTGCTCTGATGACATCCTATATAACTGCTCTGATGAATTTATAGTGTCTGGAAGAATATGCAAGAAGATTAGCTACAGAACCAAGTCACCAACATCCATTTTCAATCAGTTATTAATGATTATTAAAGTTAGCAAGTCATAGTGAGTCACAATGTGTCACTGCAGAATTTCTGCAGCAGCTAACAAGTCTGGTATACGAGGTTCCTGACCCTCCATTTTCGCAAGGGTCAGGCCACGCCTGACTAATTTTATTCCATGCGTCCCAAAATATATACGCGCGGAAAAGTGGGCGTGGCCAAAATCACTGCGCACTTCGTGCGCCATTGTTCTTGCCTGACTCATAGCATAGATATCTATGCTCATAGATACTGCTCTGCCAATCCTGCCGCCGCCTATGATTACACATAAATGGATTGGAAACAGGGCAAAACCAGATGGTCACATGCACTTTTGCAGGAAGTGACATCATTACTCACGGGGAAAAAATGGCACTATTACATTTACCTAAAACATTAAGCAAGTACTTTTAGAACTGTTCTGGAAGCATTTTCAACTTAAGAATTTCAATTTATACTCCAAAGGTAAAGGTAACAAAGCAGAGGAAATACAATATAGAGAAAATATAATACAAATAATTTAAAACTATTAATGAAAAATTAAAATATAATGCATTATTATCACTGAGGTATTGTTGATGACTTGGTAGACTTACTTGATGATATGCCTGCAAACAAGTAGATTCAATTATTAATAATGATTACAGTGTGATGATGGCTCATGCTCTTGGTTTTCAATTTTAGAGCTCACTATTAACCATGAGTGATTCTGTTTAATATATCCAAGACTAACTCTCAAACTTTTTGGCTTTTAACATTGTCAACTTCAATGTAACCTACTGGAGTGATTCCTTTGGCCAAAACCTTTTCCATCAATTCCGCTTTAACTATGGTAGCTAAACCTTCCTCACGATGCTCTTTATCAGTAAATAAGTGAAATAAGAAACCAAGTCCTGATGACATAATATAAAGAGGAGGTTCTGTTGATGTACGATAAATTGCAGCATTTGGATAATTGACAATGAAACCTGTTATCTCCTTTGGTTTTCATTTAAAATGCAACCATGATACAACATACTCAAGTAGATGTTAGTCTCGCCCTGTCCCTTCGCTACCTGCGGCCGGAGGTAATGAAGGGGCAGGGTAAGACTAACTCAATATTAAATATTAATATTAAATATGAATAATTAAATATTGAGTTCACAGATTGTCTTTATAGACTCACTCACACACAATTTTATATACATACATGCACTAGACATTATTTAACTTATTATTAAAGTAAAATTGTCATTAAATTAGAGATCAGAGTTTGCTTTGAACCAAAAGTAATCCTGTCTTAGCGTACCCACCAAACTCAGAGAGTCTTTGACTTTTAGTGTTGTCAATATAAACGTAACCTACTGGAGCGATCCCTTTGGCCAACATTTTTCGTACCAATTCTGCTCCAACTATGAAACCCATCATGCTCTTCATCAGTAAATATGTAACGGAGGATACCTAGTCCTGATGATACTATCCAGGAGACTGGACGAGGAGGTTCTGTTGATGTATTGTAAATTGCAGCGTTTGGATAATTAGCAATAAGATGCCTCATCAACTGTTTCATTTTGGGACTATCTTTAGCTGGTTCCCGGCCATTTTGATGCAACATACTCAATATCAGACGAGTGAATGCTATCAGTTTTATATCCTTCAGGAAGAGCTGGTCTATACAATGAAGTCAATTTTTATACCATTAAAGATGATATACCTGTTGATCTTTGTGTTTTTATGTGTGTAAACATATCGAAGCATAGACATTGAAAATCTTTGATCCATTCCTAACTTCTTCATTTCTTGAAAAACCTCTTCACAACCTATTAGATACCATAAGTATAATGGGTGTAATTTTTGAGGGGGTAAAATGTAGCAGAATTTATCAAGCAGAATTGAAAAATTTTGAAAGTCATTCGCCAAAATAAAACAAACCATAATTAATATGCACATACTCAATAACACATACTGTAGCCACAAACTTGCCAGTTTAAACATATGTACCCTCTAAAATTACTTGCTATAAAGTACATCATAGATTACCCATAATCAATGGTTGCTGTTCTTTGTCCAGATGTGACTCAATCACAGACTTTAATATAGCAGCAGTTTTTGAACTATCAGTACCAAATGGATAGATAACTAAAAATATCAGAAGTCATAGTACTATGCACAGTAGACTGAATTACTAACATGGAACTTCTCCTTCATTATAAGTATAGATAATGGTTTTTACATCAGGCCAGCTGTTATCAGTGACTAAAACTTTGGCATTGAGCTCCTTTGCTAACTTTAGTCCATTTATAATCTGGATTTTACAAAAATATTTTTGCTATATTCTGTGTATTACCTCTACTGTGTCAGGCCAGTGTTTGTATAAGAAATCCTTCAATTCTTCTCTCTTACTATCAGGAATTAACAACTTCAATTGCAGACAGCTCCTCCATATCTGCAGCCACACCTCTGAACTTGCAAAAAGAATTATAATATTTCTTGCTACAATACCGCATTGGCTAATTTTAATTGTGAATAAGTTGTTATTTACATAGTGATTATTAATGTTAGAGTTGGCTATTAACCACGAGTGATTCGGTTTTAGTATATCCAAGAAGCTCAGAAATTCTTTGGTTTTTAATGTTGTCAGCAGCAATGTAACCTACTGGAGTAATCCCTTTAGCTAATATCTTTTCCATTAATTCCGCTTTAACTATGGTAGCTAAGCCTTTCCCACGATGCTCTTCATCAGTAAATAAGTGATAGAAGCAACCAAGTCCTGATGATACAATGTAGGAAACTGGACGAGGAGGTTCTGTTGTTGTACAATAAATTGCAACATTTGGATAATTGGCAATGAAATGCATTATTATCTCTTTCATTTTGAGACTATGTTTAGCTGGTCCTGATCTTGTTGCGACATACTCAATATCAGACGAGTGAATGCTGTCAATTTCATATCCTTCAGGAAGAGCCGGTCTAGAAGAGAAGTCATAATTTTTACAACATTAAATATGCTATACCTATTGATCTTTGTGTTATCCTGTGTGTAAACATATCGAATACCAGGTTCAGAAAATTTTTGGTTCATGCCCAATTTATTCAATTCTTGAAAAACCTCCTCACAACCTGTTAAATGACATAATTTAGTGAGAGTAATTTTAGAATTTTTTGATAGTAATTCACCCAAATTAAACTCGCATTTTTACATCAGTGTGTGCATGCTCAATGCAAAACCAATGCTAATCTTTAATTTATCAAAATTTGTCACAAATTTTCCCTCTAAGATTACCCAAATTAAGTTAAATAAGTGACTTTACCTATAATCATTGGCTGCTGTGCTTTGTCCAGATGTGACTCAATCACCGACTTTACTATAGCAACAGTTTTTGAATTATCAGTTCCAAATGGATAGATAACTAAATAACAAAGATAACCACAATATAGATTGAAACTATACAGCGGAATGACTAACAAGGAATTTCTCCTTCCTTATAAGTATAGATAACAGTTTTAACATCAGGCCAACTGCTATCAGTGAAAACTTTGGCATTGAGCTCCTTTGCTAACTTCAGCCCATGTATAATCTTGATTTTATCAAAAATTATATATCGGATGCTATAATAAATTCTGTTTATTACCTCTATCGTTTCAGGCCAGTGTTTGTACAAGAAATCTTTCAATTCTCTTCTACTAGTATCAACTTCAATTACAGTCTCCTCCATTAATTTTGAGATTTTCTCTCGGATTTTCTTCTAGTTTGGGTCTAGCCCTCTGCACTCTGCAGCCACACCTCTAAAGTAAAGCACTGTCTATAATATTTCGTAAATTGTTGCATAAATAGATCTAGAATTGGCACACTGAATGATTATAGACCCCACCCATTATTTAACACAACAATGCAAATAAATTAAATTTGTGAAAAGTGGCTATAATACTTTCTGTATGGGTTATACCAATTATAGACCCTATCTTAAGTACCACAATAGATGTGGCAAAGGAGAGGAATGCACTGGTATGTTCATTTTTACAATAGAATCTCTAAGTCAAAAGTTAGAGCTATAGCCAAGAAAATGAGGGCTCATGGGGACCAGATAAAAGCGGGAGACGGAGCGGGAGCAGGAGCGGGAGTTGACGGATAAAAGCGGGAGACGGAGCGGGAGATGCCACGAAAGAATGCGGACATAGATATGTATCTAGCCACGTGTAGTTCAGGAAAGCTGGAGAAGACGGACAGAATCGGAGAAAGTGTGGCACCAAATTAATGTTATTTCTATTAATTTTGAGCAGGAGCCCATGTTTTGAGTTATAATTCCATTATTCTGACAACTCAATTTAGTTTTGATTCTCGTTATTTTGGCATTTACAAAAATTATAGCTAGTTACTATAGCATTACAATTTTAAAGTACTAAAATAGGGCTCAGTAATGCAATACTGCATGCATGAGTGGTGAATTGAGCTCAGTTTACAAAATTTGTGAAGTACACAAACAAAAGTACTGCACGCATTACAAGAAATCAGTCTTATGATATCAAACTCCCAACA